CCCCCCTTCCTCTTCTTCTTCCCCTTCTTATAAAACTAAAAACCATCTGAAACCAGTTTACTTCAAATCTCCTCCCCACTTCTTCTTCCTCCAAACTCAATTCATCCCATGGAAGCAAAGAAGAAGTATGCTCTGTTACAATGTGCAGAGGATACAGATTATGTGAAGGAAGCATATGGAGGATACCTGAAGGTGTTCATGGGATTGTTGCAGGAGGAAGGTGAAGAATGGAATGTCTACATGGCTGAGAAGGGGGAGTTTCCGGCCGGCAGCGATGTCGACGGTTACGACGGGTTTGTTATCAGTGGAAGCAGCAGCGACGCGCATGGGGAAGAAGAATGGATCAAGAGTTTGGTAGAGTTGGTGAGAGTACTTGATGCTCGGAAGAAGAAGGTTTTAGGGGTTTGCTTTGGTCATCAGGTTCTCTCTCTATCTAGCTCTCAATGTTATTTTTTGGCGGTGTTTAAATCCAACGTTCTGTTAAATCGAATTTTCTTACATTCTTCTACTTGACATAAATCCAAATTTATTAAATCCAAGTCGCAACCTTTGAAGCTTATTCAATTTTTATTTATATGTATATATATATATATATGTCTGTGTATGTGTGTCATTAAGACATGCGGAAAATATGAAAAAAATATGTCAAGAACATGAAAGAGATGGGTCTGTTCATGTTTTTCGTTGATTTTATCGAGAAATTATTAGGTACTCTTTTCAATCATAGTCATTCCTTTTATGTTTTTTTTTTTCAAATTAATAAAAATGGGACCCACTATCATACAAACTTTTGTTTGGATGAGTTAATGGATGGCTGTGATCGGAGAGCGCACGCAGAACATACAATCTTTTGTTTGGATGAGTTGATGGATGACTGTGATCGGAGAGCGCACGTAGCTCTGCGTGCGCTCTCCCTATGTAATAATTTTTCGATTTTAGGGGAGAAAAGTTTTATTTTAAAAAATAAAAATATAATGAATTGATAAAAAAAATTATATTAAATTATTTTTAATATTTGGTGTTTTAAATTCAATCAAAAGTGCTGAGTGGATTATTTATCAAAAAAGTTTTGATTTAATATAATATTCTTGTTAATAATAAAAAAAAACTACATTATTACAGTAAGTAAACCAAAATAAATCATCAGAATATTGTAGCAAAATAGTAAACTAATTTTTCTATTTTTTATTTATTTACTTAATTTAACGGGGGAGAATAATTTTTAAACCAAATTTAGACTATATTTAAGGAGATCTAATCATTAAATTAGTCCCACAAATCTCTCCATTAAATCATAATCTGAGAATTTAAAATACCATATCCTTTTCGGAATCCCCTTAATTGGAAAATTAAGTTTTTCATTAGAAAGGCATCGCAGACAAATCTCATGCTTTTTACATATTCAACACTTAAATTTTCATATTTACGTACATAACACTCAAATATTTAAATACAACTATTATAGACATTTGAAAGTGAAATTCTATGACTCCAAGGCATTTTAAATGCAATATCAAACTTTTGGTGCTATGTGTGTAAATATAAAGGATTTGTGTGCTACTTTTGTAAATTTCCAAATAAATGTTTAATACCAATAATGGGAAAAAAATATTACGTCTCGACGCAAGCCAAACAATGTCTGCGATCCATCGGAGGCTGAAAGGAGCGGACGAAAAAAAAAAAAGGAGAAAAAAATGACCTCCGATGGATCTCAAGCGTCGTCCTGACATTCAGACTCTAGACATAATATTTTTTCTTTTTGTAAATTTCCAAATAAATGTTTAATACCAATACGTCCGGACGCAAGCCAAACAATGTCTGCGATCCATCGGAGGTTGAAATGAGCGGAGGAGGAAAAAAAAAAGGAAAAGAAATGACCTCCGATGGATCTCAAGTGTCGTCTCGATTTTCGGACTCCGGACGTAATATTTTTTCCTCACCCGTGTTATTCTCGTATTAGCTGATTTGTATCAAACCAAATCCTATATATATCTGAAGCAGACTAATAACAGCAAATTCCATATACTATTCAATGTTTCTAATTATATACCAATACACACTAAAATGATGTAATTTCTATTTTTGTCATTAATTATTAACAAATATTAATGACCATTTATTACATGTAAAATGTTATGCTGGCAGATAATTGGGAGAGCATTAGGAGGCAAGACAGGAAGAGCAGCCAAAGGATGGGATATAGGGGTGACTTCCATTAATCCCTCTTCTAACTTGAGCAAGTTTTTCTCTCCACTCGAAGCCCCCTCTCAACTTTCCGTGATTGAGTGCCACCGCGACGAGGTTAAATAAACTAGAGAATTTATAGATCGAGTAATATGGACGAATATGTTTATATCTGGTAGTTAAAATTGAGTCTGAAATGTTTGAATCATGTTGTTCAGGTGTGGGAGTTGCCGCCGTCCGTCGAAGTATTAGCTCGATCAGATAGGACGGAAATTGAGATGTTCAAATTCGACGATCATATCATGGGAATTCAAGGTCATCCCGAGTACACCAAAGATGTCCTTTTGCACCTCATCGGTCGCCTTCTTGATCTCAATCTCATTCAGGTGAATTTTTGCTCTTTAATCAATCAATATGACATATTATATATTTATATATATATTTTTTATTTATATGAGAGTAAATTTGGATAATTTGATGCAGAGAGAGCATGCTGAAAATGTGAAGAAGGAATTGAATGAGAGAGAGCCAGATAGGGAAGCTTGGGAGAAGCTGTGCAGAGGGTTCTTGAAGGGGAAGTTAGAGATGAACCAATGAACAAAGTTGTAATTTAGGAGAAGTTGGAGGTTAGAAGTATTTGTAGTATTTATATAATGGAAATTATATTATTTAATGAATATTGTAATTATGTTTGTGTTGTTATTTATTGTTAAAGATTGTATGGGAATCAGAAGAATTCGTTGTTTGTGAGTTAAGCTTCATGTACTAACAAGCTAAGCTCAAACTAACCCGAACTCTACTCATTAGTTTATGAGTCGGCTTATTTTTGAAAAACAACAATTGTTCGATGATAATTGAACTCTCTTATGTATAAATGCATCACTTTCCTTTTGTTTTGGCGAGCCCAAATACTTCTAGTATGTCTTCCCAAACGGTGATAAGCGGAAACAACACGAGGATCTACTCTTCTCCCTCTTCATAAGCATTGACAATATAAAAATCCTACAAGTTTCAAAACAATCAAAAAGGTAATGTTCAAATTAATTTGACATCATGTAATACAACCATATCATACTACAAGATTATTTTTAGATTAATTTGACATCATAATATAATGATGTTGTGATGCATGGTTGATTCCAAAAATTATGCAAAAAATCATAATAATTTATAAATATAATGCATTTAATTTGTGTGTCAGAGAGTGTAATTTTGCCCGAACATTTAATACATAAATAACAACATCAAGATTTAATCAATAGCTTTTACGGCAATAGATTTAAGTATCTGTTTGAGATAGCTGCTATTTATGAAACAGTAAAAAAAATAAGATGATGTTATAAAAATATGTGGTGGCTATTATAATTTTTTTTTTTTGAAAAAATTGGACCGTAACTAGAAAGCTGCTACCGCACCTAATTAGGATCGGTGGAAAATGATAATTTCAACAGCAAATTTTTGAAAAAGCTGTTAAGATATAGTTTATCTAAACCTGTAAATCTGTCACAAACAGACTCTTAAAGCAGAATTAAACAGATTTATTTTTTTATTTAATCTTGGTAACAAATTATTTTAATTTATTTTTATTTAAATTAAATTTATTAATTAAATTGATTAATAAATAATAATTAATTCATATATTATCAATTTAATAATAATTAGATTAATTTACATTTAATTATTTAATAATTAATTAATAAATAAAAGTGCATTTTAAAATTTTAAAATGTTTAATAAATTTCTTAAATAATCTTAATCAATATAATTAATAACAATTAATTAATATTGTGTTAATGTTAATTTATTGTTTAACAAGTAATTTTGTTTAATAATTTTTTTCTTAATAATCAATTAGTTTAGTGAATAATTAAATATTAATTAGTATAATTAATAATAAAATTTAATGGATTTTAATTAAATTTAATAATTAATTTTTATTATATTAATAAAATAATCACAAAGTTTAATTATAACTTTTTGCCATAACAAACATAACAACATTTTAAATCTTGACATAAGTACATAAACAAATTTACATGATTTAATTAGATATATTTAATTCCTTGACAAACAATTTTTAAAATTTAATATTTCTAAAGTTTATTAAATCTAAATTCACTAAATCTACTTAAACACAACTAATCGCGTAATGAGAGAAAAAAAACTCGTCTGAGGTAGCGGCGGTGTTTTCAAAACGTCGTCCTACTGTTTGGAAACTGTATTTGAACAGTTTATCCGAAAATGTGATTTATAAATAAACAACTTATTCGAATAAACACAAGCTGCCTCCAAACACGACTTATTCGAATAAACATAAGCTGCCCCCAAACACACACAACGTGCATTTGCCAAACGAGACCTTCTTGGCGGCGTTCTTAAGTGCGGTAGAAAGGAAAAATAACGTACAATCAAGCAAGGGCGAGCCAGCGCAGACCGTTATTTCCAGCTTTCATAGCCCGCTTTTTGGTGGGCAGCGCTCTACTTTTAAACCAACAATGAAACCCAAATCCGATTTCTGTTAGCCGGCTTGATTGCAGGCATGGAGTGGAAGAGGAAGGGGAAGAACCCTAGATCTGCACTGGTCTCTGCGCTCATTCTTGCAAGCCTTTTGTTAGTTTCTAGCGTGGAAGACGAGTGCTCCGCTTGCAACGCCATTGCGGTATGTCTCCTTCTCTTCTGCTTTAATTGCTTTCACTGAAACGTAATGGCGGTTCGTTATTTGTTCTAGACCGTAGATATCTTAATGAATTTTTAAGTAGTCCAATCTATGGAACAAGCCTCCTTTCATTGGTGTTCGGTTTTGTGGATTTAGAGTTATTCTGCTCTTTAGTGTGTTAGATTTTAGAATTCATTGTAATTGTTGGTGGGTGGATTATTCTATGTGGTTTAGGTGTTGTCTGGCAGCATATGATATTTAAATTAATCTAAATTTGGATTTAATAAATCTTGAATGGGTTAAATCTTAAAAATGGATTTGATAAATCCTGTAAATTCAGTAAAGCTGTCTGGCAATTTCTGCTCTATCCGATTCTTTCAGCATTAACTCCGCAGCTGATGGACTTAAATCCAACTATTCACAGGATTTACTAAATTCAGGATTTACAAACGAAATTCGCGAAATCAGGATTTATTTGTCCCAAACAACCGTCTGGCAAGATTTCGCTTATATCCTGCATAAATCCTTGCCTAAATTCATTGCCAGACAACCATTTGGCAAGGTTTCGCTTATATCCTGCCAAATTGTAAAGAAGACATTGTTAAATCCTACAAATTCTTAAATCCCTTTTTTGCCCTGTTTTGACTTAAATTCGGGATTTAGTAAATCACTTTGAAAGAAGGATTTATGCGACTTGGAGAAGCTAAAACTCAAGGGAAGATAAATCCTATTAAATTCATCTTAAATTGTCAAACAGTTTCTCTGAATTTATTAAGATTTACTTATTAACATACCTAACAGTTTAAAGGATTTGACCCTTTCTTGATTTCATAAATCTGGATTTACAGGTTTACTAAATCCTACTTGCAACCAAACAACCTTAATATTACTTTGTCATTCTCGTCTTAGTTAGGAAATTTTTATGGGTCCTTTGCCTTTCAATATGTGCTAAATGAATGAATTGTTACAAAATTTTTTATTTGCATGCTATTTTGGAATCTTAGCTCCTCCATTATATTTGTTTCTTCTTTCCTTCAAGTGAAATCTAACAAATTTTATTTGGTTGGCATCTCTGGAATCTAATCTTTTTTTTCCCAATGGCATGCAGGATGAGATAGAGATCGAGTTTTTTGATGTAAGATTACTTTCAACGTGTTCTTTTGTCTCAATTCTATGGTAAAATTCATGGAACCTATAAATTGCATGAAGTCAAGCACAAGTAATCTCCTTTTGAATTTCTTCTTTTATTCCGCTTGATTGGACTGCACTTCCTTATTCATTAAGTGTTTTGGAGCTGAGGAATATTAACACTTTTAAAAAGTTTTTTTTTTCATTGGCTAAACAACAATTAATTGAAAGATTAATAGCCAAAAGCTCCTTAAATTCTTTGATTGGACATTAAGTACCTTGAGATACTTGGAAAAGTCATCTCTTCATTTCAAGTTCTGATTATAAGTTACAAATTTAGAGCAGTGAGGTGTGAGAGTGGGAAAAGTTTGGTGGGGAACATAATACAAAAATTGAGAAGCAGTTTTGGGAGAGTATTTTACTTGCAACATATTCTCATAGCTCTCAAGCTGTTCTTTTGAGTGATGATCGAGTAATTTTTAATCTGCATGTCAGGTTGGGCACTAACAATTCTAGTTTGGCTCTTGTACTTTATGTGCCATAACCAGGATTTTTTGTTGTGTTTTTCTTTTATGATTAATAATTGTGCTAACTCTTTGCCTTCAAGTTTCTACTTGCACATGTTCTATGTCTTATGTTCCTGGGGGTGGAAAACGTTATGTTCAGAGTGGGCATTGTCTCCATTAAAATTTACAATTTTTTATATAAATAGTAAAATTTATTTATTTTTTCATATGTAGTTTAGGTTATTTAGTAATTTTTGCAATGTAGTTTAGGTTATTTAGTAATTTTTGCACCCCCCCCCACAAAAAAAAAATGTTAGTTCAACCTCTGTTAAATAATGTACCATGTCATTATCTCACAAAATTCTAGTGCTTATCTTGCTATTTCATTTCTCTAATAAGAAATCTAAAAAGAAAAAGATATTTAGTGATTTTTCCCAGCTTAATGAATAATGTTGGTTCAACCCCTGTTAAATAATGTGCCATGTCATTGTCTCCTAAAGTTCTAGTGTTTATCTTGCTATTTCATTTCTCTAATAAGAATTCTAATAACTATCTTGATTTTCAGCAGGGGTTAGATTCTATTAGTCGTCTTGAAAGAAAAGACGTTGATTACAGGTGCTTTTTAAGAATCTTTGTTTTTTTTTTTTGTAAATTCATCTGTCATCTTCTTCGACTCTTACTTTTAAAGCAATTTACCTGCATTAAATTTTATTTGCTTTTCCATCACTAATACTGCTCAATGTAGGACCAAAAATGTGTATTTGCTTTTGCTCCTAGACAAACTAGATTGTGACCTTTGAAAATTCACAACACAACCTCCCTTGAAGACGTTGAGAGTTTTGTGTTGGAATTCAGAACTAAGTTTTTTCAAAGACAAATGAAATTGTAGATACCACACTATTTAAATATTTCACCCTCATTTTATGAGCACTTAAGATTTAAGATTCTAGCTTTTCCATAGGTGCAAATCTTTATATAGGGGCGGGACCAAGTTATATCTAGCGTGGTCAATTTCTCACCTTGGAAGTTGAGATTTTTCTTTTTATAAGTAATAAATTTTAATATTTTTTCTTACGAACTTTAGGTAATTTAGTAATTTTGCTCATCTCGATATACTTTAAAAATAAAATATTGAGCCCACCCTATAAGATAAAATTGGTTCTGCCCCTATCGCTATAGTTAATTACCCTTTTCAATTAAGGAAAAAACACTTTTAATTAAAGGTAATTATTAGGGCGTTGATTATTCAACAGGTAGCTACAGTAGAACTATGTTTTAAATTTTGAAAATTTTCATTGAGCTCAAGAATGAATGGTGAGAGGAATGATTACAAATCTACTCTATATTTTATGATGCTATCGTCTTGAATTCAAGAAAATTATGAACCTTGATTTATTTAGTCAGAGGAGATATTTAATCAAACCTAACAGCAGAATCATTATCAAAGCCATATGATACTTTCACTGAAAGATTCTTATAGACCTGAGTTGATATTTATATAAGGGGATAAATTCAAGTAAATCTTAACTGATAGAGAGTTTTGTGTCATATCAAATGTTATAACTAGAACGGGCAAAAAGCCATTGTGAAACATATGAGCTATATCTGTGATCATAATATTGTGGAACTATTGAGCCAAACCACTCAGTTAGTGAGTTATGGTCACAACTGTTATGTTTGTGGAACTGTTGAGTTAAATCACACGTATAGAGAACTCAGACCACTTCTTTAGAGACATAAATTATTTTAAGTATGAATATAATAATATATGTAATACAACGTTAGCTATGTGTGAGTTTAGATTTATATCAATGTTATCATCAATGACAAACGACTGCGAAGGATATTCCAATATCTATCAAATAAAAAACACTCAACTTATACACGTGTGCTTGAAATCTTTTTAAAATATCTCTACCAACTTGAATACTCCAACATAATAATTATAAATATTCATCTAAAATTTCAAAATTTTTGTTTATGCAAAATCCCATATTTTCGCCTATTAAAAACGATTCCCTTTTTTATCAATAGAAGAAAAAAAAGAGGGGTAGAGATAGAGAGAGAACCTGATGGAGAAAGCAAACTCCTTAAGAACTTCTACTTAAGAGCATTTAGTCCTCTCTCAAACTCTATCGGATTCTTGATTGAGCCTCTTCGCCATGAGCATTACTGCAGCTTCCACTGATAAAGAGGTCGTCGTAGCGCTCCACATCGGAGTCTTTCAAAAACTACCCATTCACGACCTAACAAATATCCTTTCCTTTCCCTTCCTCCCGAAATAATCCCATTGAGAACCTTCAGATATCCTCTGTGTTTTTTCTTCATATGCTCTGTATCATTTGCACATGGAGAGAAAACTCTTGAGGAAAAGTGTACAGAAGATGCACATCTGCACGAGTATCGATGAAATCCAAGACAAAAAATACAAAGAAGCATGACTAAGGAGGGCTCACAGGCAAATAACCAAAGGTTCACCAGCGGAAGACCGAGTGTCCACCAACAGAAAACTAATGCCGAAGGATCTACTTGACTAGGGACAACCCCCAAAAGGCCCACCAAATACAGACCATTCAAATTAAAGATCGAGACCAACCAAACCAAGTAGAGGCACAACCTGTCTCGCGGCACAACTCGACTCAAGAGGGGAATTCAACATTGCTGGCTATCTTATAGACGCCCTTGAGATCCCTCGTATGGGATCAATAACTAGCCATAGCATAATCCCATAGAGCATCCTGAAAGAATGCCTCGTCAAGGAGTGAGCTATGTGTTAGATTTCGATGATTCTCCATCTGCTCAATGGCCTAACTTTGCTCTGCTGACCTGAGTTTCTTGCCAGGTATCAATCGTCGACCACTAAACTATAATAGCCGAGTGATAAAATCAAGCTGATTGAGTCAAGTCCTGCCGACCTGAAGACCGTCAAGGGCCGACCGACAAACTCGATTCAACATGGTAGAGTGAACCAGTTTTGCAGAACCGGGATCGACTGATTTTAGTCAACCGAGTTATAGGGTAGACCAACTAAAGGCCTATATGTGCAAAATATCTAAAATATCTTGTAACACTCCCATTAAAGCAATTACAAATATTTAACTTCATATATTATACCTCATTTTCTATAAATAGGGGGTTCCTCAGAAAAGACTAATCAACAATTCAAATTATTATTCATTACTGTGCACTTCTCTCTCTATCTATCTCTTTTTACAATCTATTCCTTCGGTGGGATTCACGTATAGATCAAGACCCAAAAAAAGGACGAACAGGAAGAGATTTTGAGCTTTTTTTTAATGTGTTTAGAATAAGAAAAAAAACCTTATATTAATTATCTGTACTATAATGGAAAATAACTTGGATGAATCATGATAGATTTTCAAACCTTTTCATACATTTGACATAAATGCAGCATATAAATAGTTAATTAATATTTATATTATATTCATCTTAAAATAATTTAATTAGATATTGATTTTTTTAATTAAAATTTAATTAAAAAAATTTCCTCAAAAATATCTTCTTCAAAGTTTTTATCAGGATATAATTTAAAATTGTTGACCATTGAATTTATGTGGAGATGAGTACAATATAAATAATTTATGTCACTCTGCTCTCAAAATAAATATGACAACTCTAACCTTCAATCTTTCCGATATTTGCTGATTTCAAGATATCCCAGAAAATATTTAGGTGCTATGATAAAGATTTTGGTTCATGTTATATATTTTACTATCACTTCAAAATAAATATAATTATTTTGAAATTCGTGATACTTTAAAAAAGTTTCTATTAATTAATTTTAATGAATAATAATAATATGCTTAGCATTAATACACCAATTCTCATCTGATGGAGACGTAGAGAAGATCAATTTACTTTCCCGAGAGTCTAACAGTGACAGATGGCAAGAATTAATTAGTGCGTGTTAAGTATGGGTGTAAACGAGCAGAATATGAGCGAGTCTAGACTCAACTCGTGTTCGGCTCATTAAAAAATATTACTGTTCATGTTCGATTCATTTATATTTCAAACACAAAAATTGTGTTTGTGTTCGGCTCGTTTGCTTAGGGAGCAAGCCAAACACGAGGTGTTTGCGAACAAAAAAGTGGTTTTGACAATCCTAATCAAGCAACGATAGGATGTTAAGAATTTGTGCAATATTTAAATCTTATTGTTTATATTAATACACCATTTAATTATAATTTAATATTTTTTTATTCTATTTTCTTAATTACTAATTTTAATTGACTATAAATCTTTTTGTAACCTTGTAGTCAATTAAATTTATTAAAAATACTAATCATTAACACACACACACACACACACACACACATATATATATA